CGCCATCTCAAAGCAACTACCCCTCTGCCGCGGCGCCATCCACCGGAAACGGACCCAACCTCACGAGCACTAATACTCTGAGTCGGCCACTCGCGGTCTACAGATTCGTGTTCTTCATAAGCTAAGCCTGACCCGTAGCTTCTAATCCAGCCTGGTCAAACAACAGCGGCGGCGCATCCCTTTCCCGCTATTTTAAAACTGGGTCCGGTCTCTCCCATGCCTTTGATATAACAGAACTTGCGGCGGCTGGCTGTGCCTACAGTCTGACCGCGCGGAGCAATAGCTGGCGTCTGTTACTCACCGCATCGGCCCCCTCCGGGTAACTAGGTGCTCCGCCATTCTGGTGTCCTCCTTCGTCCCGCTGTTGGAGGATGTCCTCCAAGCCTTCTTGGCCTCCGCCGCGCGATTGCTCGCGCTCTGCCATCACTTCGCTGTTACTGGCGACCGATATGCCAGCAACGTCAAATCGCCTTATCTATTTTACTATTGAGCTGGGTCCCGAATACAAAGTAAATCACTATTTAAACAATTCAAAATCCCCAACAGACGACGTTCTGACTTGCGCTTGCTTGCACGGTTGACTGGCGAACTAGCGTTGTCTGGATTCAGCGCTTTGTTCCCAGCTAATCTTTGTAACGCACTACCGTATCAGTCACTGTCCTCTGGCCAATTCCGGTCTGCTCCTCCCGCGCCGCACTTGCCGTACTACACTACAGGACGAGCACTTAATCAACGGGGATTGGATTGTAGTACGGGGTCCCGTGCGCACGTCAGGCTGTTACCTTCTGGAACTCTTTTTACCTTACTGTGGACATACATCTGGTCTTCATAACTTTGAACAACTTTATTCATCCTGAGAAAGAAAGACAGCTATGCTTGTGTGGACTTCTATACGAAGCATCCGTGTATTACAATACTGCTAGGATGTACTTTTAATGTAACATATTGAGAGACTCCTAGAGGCGACGGACGTGCTACCGAAGTGTTCTCTATGTGAATGTCTGCAAACGGCGTCGACAGCTCGTCACAGCTGCAGCTGCAAGAGGAGAACTTCGTCCTCAGGACGCAAGTGAATAAACTTCAGGTGCTAAAGTCCATTGAGCTACGTGCTCAACAACAAGCAAAGCAACATGTAGACAAGCGGTAATCCTTGGCCCTAACATGCAGGTGGCCCTCAGGAATGCCCTCAATCAACAGAAGTAAGCTCCTGTTCTCCGGGACCTTCGCGTCTCCGATATCCCTACTCCCCAGATCGGAGTTCAGACGCGTTATACCGTGTCGCCCATACACCACCGGAATATGCGTGCAGGGACAGTGGCAGCGTTCAACAGGAGGGTGAATACGTATCAAAGCAACTGTTTGAGGTTGTAATGGTGAGCAACCCTACAGCAAATGCACAGCGCGTTCACCTTAAAGCAACACGTGCTAATCGCCCTCGGTGGCGAACCGATTGGGGGCCCCGGCATATGCGGGCGTCCAGGAAAGTTATGAGGAACTTTTCAATTGCTAACCGCTTTCAGGGTGAACTTGCGGAGCTACGCTCGCAAGTCGGCCAGCTTCGGGAAGATAACCGCAGGTAGGCGGTGGGCTGCGGATGCTGCGTGTTGCCATTTAAACCGTAAGACGCGTTTGTGAGAATCCTCACATACCCCTCCGATTTACACAACACTCAGTTTACAAGAGCAGCTTCAACACGTCCGAGAGGTGCAGGCGGCGTCGGGGTCATCTTCCGGTGCGCCCGACACGTGGGATGCTGTACCCGCCCTCCTATGTGGTAAGTAAGCAAGCTAGCAACCGGAGCCCAAGCAGCAGCCACTGGCATACATATAACAGCTGGGGTTTTAGGTGGCAACAGTTTAAAGCAATGTCGAAGCGACGACGCCTTGGGACGCATTGAAAGGCGGTATGACTGCAAGGGTTCGAACCCACTCGACACGCAATGATGGCCAGGCATTTCAGTAATCTGCTTCAGAGAAGGCTAGGGGCTAGGCAACCGCGCCGAGGAATTCGTTTTGCCCTTGCATACAGATGTGGAGCCTGCCGTCACTCGTAGCGACATGGCGTTCATAGAGCGGGAAATCAACTGCCTGAAGCAGAAAATTAGCGAAACGCGCCTTAAGCTTCAGGCTGCGGAGCCTGATACAACAGATGACGAGTATTACGCTGCAACCCTAGCCGACCGGAGGGTGTTTGAGCGCCAGCCGCTGCAGCGCAAGCAGGTGTCAGCGGGTCGGTACGATGCCGGGCCGGTAGCACGACACACGAACATCGTCGGCCCTTCCCTGTTTGACGAAATCCTGCCGCGCGCGCTGACGCCGGTCCCGAGCTCGGCAACAGGCTCCGCTGTGCCATCAGCAATGCGGCCCCGCGCCGCACGCGGTCAAGGAAACAAGAAGAGCGGTCAGAAAGTTTCAAAGGTAGCTAGGAATGTGAATCCATGACACTCCTGTGCAAGTGTCTCATAGAGCGCACATCTGACCATGTGTTGGCCTATGCGCAGGAGAATGTTGCCAACCAGTACGCTGGCGCCAACGTGCTTGGGCGCCCGAAAGTGCAACGCGGACGCGGTCTATCATATTGATGTGTGCAGCTAGATTGAAGCCGCGCGAGGTGTGTTGAGCGTCCTGGATGCGAAGTAGCTCAGGACTGTAAGTCGTCCGAACCCAAGAATGTGCCTTCAGAGCACACAGAGAACCGTCCTGTCCATCACGTGTATTGGGGCGTTAACGCAACACTCGGAAAAAGATCACCAAAGGTATACAGATTGCAGCTTAGGGGACTTGCACACACCGTCCTGCAGTTTGAGAAAGTCAGCACGGCTCTGCCCTCAGGGAGATTGCCATGACCCAGAAGCTTATTTCAAATTTGCCATGACTACCGTACATATGCCTATCGGTAACCTATCTGCGCATGCGCGAGCTGCTGATGGGCCTGCCGTTGAGCCATACAAAGCTGTGCACAGCATGGCCTATTGTAGCCACTCCTGACCTCGTTACTCCTTTCCCTTCCTCACATTCCTTGTAGGTCCAGTAGGATTACGCAGCTAGCCCAGCGCCTGCTCTCTACGCAGCCCCCGTCAGCCCCTTAGGCCCTTTGAGGTCCCGGCTGATGCCCAAGCGCTTAAGCAACTCGTCCGTCTCCCCCCGAAGGGCAGCGACCCTGTCCGCCGTCTCGGCGCGACTCAGTGCCAGCTCCTCCTGCATCTCCTTGGCCGCCTTCTCTGCCGCCGCCGCTATTTCCTCACGTGCTTCCGCTTGACGCTGGTCGCTTGCGCGGAGCGCCTCTTCGGCAGCATGCGTGATGGACGCCTGCATGAGCAGCGAGTACACTTCCGGCAGTGTTCGTTCCTGGGCTATGTCCACAGGGCTGACACCGTCCTTGTTGGGCTTGGTGGGGCTGGCTCCGCGCCGCAGGAGCAGCCGGACCGCCTCCTTTTGATTCTCGCGGACGGCAGCCGCCAATGCAGTCGTGCCGTCCTTAGCTTCGATGTCGATGGAAGCGCCTGAGTCCAGAAGCAGCGTAAGGGACTCGCAGTCGCCTGCAGCTGCGGCAGCCATCAGCGGTGTGCCTCGGGCACTGGGAGGGATGAGCAGAGGGTTCAGCTCCGGTGATGGGCCGTGTAAACGGAGAATCATACCACGGTGGGAAAGAAATGAAGTGGATAAGAGGGGTTTGGGGGGAGTTCGAGTTCGTGGTATTACCACCCAGTTGTGGTGTTTCTCACCTAGCGCTTTGCATCCTATCTAGGGTTGCGAGACACCGCCTAGCGACTGGAATGCAGTTGACTTAAACACTGGAATGCAGTTGACTGAAACACGGGAGCATGGGTGAGGGGCTGGATGGCTTTCGCCTTTCCTACACGATGTCGTTAAGCTCCAGCATCTACCGATACGGCCTCGTGGTCCCATAAGGTACAATCGACGTGGCGTGTAACCACATCTCATGCCATCTTCATCCACTTAACGCTCTCTTTAGGGATTTTGCTATCCCCGGCATAATCTTATTTTCACACTTTTTGGGCACACAATCGCTCCGCGTTAGGGAGCCCTGTAGGAGCCATACCTGCAGTGGTTCACGTCAGCGCCATGCTCCAGCAAAACCCGGCAACACTCCCCGTCCCCAGAAAGGATCGCCGCCCGCAGTGGATAGCTGCCATTAGTCAACTCCATATTAGGATCCGCTCCATTCTTCAGCAGATGCCTCAGGATGGTTGTAAACCCGTTCTCCGCGGCTGCGACTGCCGGGGTAAGGCCAGTCTCCGTTGCTGGAAGGTTAGGTTGCACGCCCAAACCCAGCACTGCTGTGACACTGGCTTCATCATTCGATAGGACAGCCTTCATCAAGTCATCCTCCGGTGAAGTTGGTTTGGGCGCACGACCAGACTTGGGTGGGGTCCTCATGGTAGGTCGAATTAAAAAGGGAGCGGTATGTTCTTTACTCTTATAGCAATAAAAATTTGTTCTAGGCAAGTGCTTCAAAAGTTGACGGGTCTGGTTATAAGACTTCTAGAAAGCTCAAGTGTGAGAACGAAAACCACAAGGTCGCCGAAGCCCTACTTTGATGTCTGAAGTTCTGTATACCTTTATCCCTACGTCTGCTTTTCCATACGCATGGGCTTCTGCGCTATTAGAAACAACGGTTGAGGACAAACGGAATGTACGGATAAGAATCGGTTGAACGGAAGGTCCAAAATGGGCAAAACTGCGTCATAAGTTATTTGTGTTTAACTGTCAAGTTGTATGTAAATCAGCGCATTAAAAAACGAAGCGTCTGTGTCATATCTGAAGCTGCCTACTTCACGGATTGCGCTGTCCAGTACGTTCCTTGCAGCCCTGCATATAGTTAGCAACTTTGCTCTGAGACCATGCATGCTGCGGCTGTTTTCGGCTATGCGGGATTGCGAAGCTTACGGTAGCCCCGGGCCTGCTGGCGCTGAAGGCAGTGTGCTTAGCACTTTTCGCCCCTCAAGATTCAATCCCCTTGAGCTGGCTCAGTAAGGGGCGGGGTGCAGAATGGGCTGAGACTCTTCCCCCGCTGCGGTGTGTCTAGCTTGAATTAGTTAATCCGGACCAGTCCCTTCTACACTGCTGTTCCCAGCGGCCCCAGGAAGAATGTAGTAGCCAAGGCAGCGTGGTAACGGGGCCGTTTCGGGTGTCGCGCCCATTGCCCGTTTGTGTGCTGCGGTGCGCTGCACTCTGCGCTCGGACGCAAAAGGCGTGTAATAACATTATTGGTCCTCATACAAACCCCTCACGCCACAGCGCCCTGGCAGCTGGATCCCGAACCCGCAGTGCAGCCATAGCAGTGATTATCACAGTGAATGCCCTTCCCAGTCAGCTCATCCAGGGACTGTATATCCCAGATGCTCAAGGGTCTGGAAGACACTCCCCGGGCCTCATCATGGGACGGTTGCTGCTGTTGCTTTTGCTGAATAGCCAGATCCAGTTGCTGGTTGAAATCGCAGTCATACAGAGTGCCATCCCACCGCACACTGATCGTGTCCCTACAAGTGGCCAGGAAGAAGGGGAAAGAGTCGACTGTCAGGAAACGGGAAGTATCTTTCTCATGCCATGTGATGTGAAGTCGGATCAACAGGGCACATTAATGGACTAGGCCGGAAAAATGAGATGCTATGCTCCAAGAGAGCCCCCACTCCCCTGATGTACGTACCTTGCCCAACATACACACCAGTATCACTACATACAGACATGCATACATGCATACACACCAGCACGTTATTGCAACGACAATGCTGTACGACACGACCAGTGTTTCCCACCAGCATGGGAAGCCCCATGTCGCAGTCAGCACCAGTGAATTTTCCTTCTCCCCTCCCTCGTAGCCGCCTCTTTTTTTCAACTGGGGCGGTTGCATCCTTCCCTTGGTCGCCTAGCCTCAATGCTCCACATTGTTCCGATACCACTTCCAAGCTTTAAATACATATTTTTATGGGATCCGGGCCATCCCATCCCACCATTTACACAGAGGTCGATGTGTGTGAACTTACCTCGTCCTCCTGATCCTTTCCCTCCTCCTCCCACCCACCTACATGCCTTTGCTTCGGCTCTGCCCCTGTCCCTTCCCTCCTCAGGAACCACTTGCCTGCACATGAGTGCCTCCCCCGCCGCGGGGTTGAAGTTGCTGAGCAGCAGTTGCATGTAGGCTTGCAGTTGCCCTCTCTGCACAAGCCAGTCAGCGAAGCGCTTGATGGGCATGTTGTTGATGGCCAGCAACCGGTTGAAGGAAATGCCGTACGTGGAGCCTAGCTCCGACTTGTAGGCGGCCTCCAACTTGGCTTGGCTGGGAGCCAGAAAGGCCCCCCCTGGCGTGGCGGTGATGGTGGCGTTAAGGAGTATGTGTGTATCCCTAGAGGTGGACGGTGTCAGGACGGTCCAACTACCACCCGGCACGTATCCCAATGGAGGAGAAGGGTGTGTCTCGTTCTCGGTGTCTCATATCTCACGTCCTCCAAAGTGTGTGCATGTGGCAGCATCTCACACCCCTAAAGCTCAACATTTGCCGAAGTGTTTTGGGGCACTCTAAACACCGAAAGGCCTCATGGTGTGGAGTTGTGGGTGAGGGACCCTCTAGCTGGCTTGGTGACCGACGTACTTCAAAACCCTAAGATAACGTCTGTAGCCAAAAATACAATATTCGGGAGATTGCGAAAGCACCTAAGGGTAGCCCCCATCATCAAAGCCGCCTTCTGACCCATCCTGGCCTTCCCCCCATCCGACCTTAACTATCTGGCTTACCTGGGTTGTACACGAGGTCCAGCTGCAGTCCACTTCCCTCCACTCCATAACCCGCCGCGTTGAGCAGCCTTAGGCCAGCGATGGAGCGCTCAAATACACCTCGTCCCCGCTGCTGGTCCACATTGCCCTCCGAGTAGCAGGGCAGGGAGGCGACCACACGGACCTGGGGATGGGATGGCGGGGTAAGGGGGACTTAAGAGAGTTGGAAGGAAGGAGTCGGAAGGAAGGGGCTGCTGTTGACATCAAGGAGGCTTTGGTGATGGTTTCCCTAAGTGGGAGGTAACACGGAAGGAAACGCGGCCGAAGTCGACACAGGTGGGGTGGGTGGGCGAATGAGAGTTTACACTCATCCCTCGATTCATAATATGGCTCTTGGACTGAAGGGACTTCCTCCTTCGTCCCCTTTACCCTTTGCTGGTTTCACCACCTTTTCTTTCTGGAAGACCGCCAGCGCCAGTTCTTTTATCCTAAATCCACATGCAACCCCTCTGCTGTTTTCCTGTTTGTCCGCCTGTCTCACCACCCCGGGGTCCCGCTGCCTCCCGGCTGGTCCCCCTCCTCGCCTTGTGTGCCGCCAAGAAGTCCGCGAGGTCCTCCTGGCCGGGCTCCAACAGCACCGTCAGGTTGCAGCGGTCGATGATCTCCACACCCAGAGGGGCGGCCTGACTGACCAGATACCTGGTGGACAGTGCAAGAAGGGAAATGGGAGGGGAAGGAGGAGGGAAGGAGAAGTCAAGGGACAGGGAGCAGGGCTGGGTAGCACAGGGTATGGTGAAGCCCGCGTGGTGAGGTCAGTTGAAAGGTCGCGGCGTCCATCCTTTCCCCCACTAGTGGCCGCTCCCTTAGCGCCCTCATCCCTTACACATCGCACATGGCCTCAATTCCCCCACTCCCCAGTTCACCCTCATCTCACCCTCAACTTCAACCTCCAGGGGTGCGTTCGGACATCGAGATGGCACACAGGTATACACAGATACGCGAAGGCCCAGGGCTCGGGCGAGGGCGCGGTCTAGGCCGGTCACCAAGTAGGGCAGCAGCAGCAGCACTGGGCGTAGGTTTACAGAGTACCTTTTCCCCCTCCCACCCAGTTCCTCAGTCCGCCGCCCCACCTGAAGTTCTCATTCAGCTCGGGCGCCCCTCCCGTGATATCCAGAGTGCCGATGGCCGCCAAGGAAGAGGAAGAGGAAGCGGAAGAGGACGGGGATGATTCCCTCCGGGGGGAGTTAGGGGCGGTATCTCGCAGCAGGGCCAGAACACGGTCCACCGTCTCCCTGCTGGCCTGCTCGGCTGTACGGCGCGGGGAGGACTCCACGTGGCAGTGGCTGCAAGCCTGGTTGCAGTACAGCCCGATGTTGAGTTGCAGGATGCGGGCTGGGGAGCGCTTCAAGGGGGTCACTCCCTGAGACTGTGTGAGGGAAAAAAGGGTGTACGGGTGAGGAAAGAGGAGATGGCTGGCTGTTGGGAGGTATTGAGGCCAGGGCGGTTCAAAGGGTGCGGGAAAGGTGGTTGATGGGGGTTGAGGTAAAGGAATGGGGGGATGTGGGCCATCTAGTTTACTAGGCCCTGTAAACAATACAGAGATTGCCTGCCAGTATGCAGGACACCAGGGCTGCAGTGGCCTTAGGGTGTTCTGTGTCTGTCGGTCTGTCGGTCTGTATGGCTCGGGGGAATGGCACCACAATGCCCATGCCCAACCTATCTGTGGGTTTCTGTGCTTGGCAGGGCCGATGTTGCTGGCCATCGCTCAGAAGGCCATAAGTGTTATTAACGCGCTGCTCTCTTCCGACACAACACGTAGTGCTGCAGCTCCCCCCCGTGCAAACCCCCTTTCACGTATAGAAGTGAAGTCAATAGATAGCCGCCTGAAGGTTGAAACAGCTGACCTGGCAAGTGGCGTAGAAGGACGGGGCCCCCAGGGCATCCAAGGAGCGCTGCCGCTTGAGCCGCTCCTCTCGAGTTAGAGCCTGCTGGCCCGCAGCAGCCAGAGCCGCCAGGTGCCGCTGGAGCTCCAAGTCCTGTTCCATATCGCGCAGCGTCGTAGGTACCAGCGAGGAGCGGCCCGATGTAGTCAAGGAGGTGCCATCGCCGGTGGGTGTGGTTCCAACGCCGGCCGCCGATGCTGCGGCCAAGAGACGCTGGGTGTTTGATGCTGGCGACCGCTCCAAGCATTTCCTCGTTCGATGAGGCGCACTGCAAGCGGCGATGTCATTCACTGTAAAACTTGAAGTTTGAGCATGAATGCAAGCGGAAATGTTGCAACTTTCATTATTAAAGCTTTATTCGTTAGACGGTAAGGCGCGCATAAGGCCTGACACGGACCTCCACGACGGCCTTGAAAGCGCAACATTCTTGGGGCATCCAGGAACTGTGCAGTGGCCTAAGCTTCGAACGCCTGTTGACATGATTATTGGCCAAAAAAATGCAAATTGCAGATTACTGACTGCTGTTTGCAGTTTGCATATTGAAACTCATAACTTGCCGTACGAGCTTGTACATGCGGCTCGCTTGGCGTGTCTAGCGGACACGCGCTAGTGGCATTCCGAGGAGTTAAAGCACATATGCTGTGAGAAAGTAATTCATGTAAAACAATTTTCCGACGCACATCATTTTATCTAACATTCGTGACTCCGACATCCTTGGTCACATATTATCCGGAAGGAGCCGGCAACAAAGGAAAAAATGCTTTCCTGGAATGATGATGCCGACGTCTTCACAACAAACCGTGAGTGGTGTTGTTTGGCCGACTGTTGTGGGACTTCCGGGACGCAATAAAACGCTGCGTCAGCAATCCGATAGCACGGAACGGATCATTGACAGGTGCGACTGGCAACACCCATTCTGCTTCAAGGTTCTCCTTAAACAAGGCGACCTCGTTGACGAGGTGAGGTGGTGCTTTCTCGATAGGACGTGAGCAGGGAAGCGATGTGAAGTCATTGGGCCAGCTGTTCAGCAATGGTCACGGGTACTATCCCCAATATGATGAGACCGCGTACCTGAAGTGTTAAGAATGGTGTGATTCTTCATAGCGTCCTTGTACTTCACGCAGTTGGCCTAACTGCCGCAGACCTGGAAACTCCTTTGAGGCGCAGCGCACGGGTTCTTCACGTAAGTCTCTGGAGGTGCCCTGCTCGCCTGGAAGCCGGAAGTCTGTCGAGGTGACTCTTTCACCAACTGGCAGCTTGAACAAAGCCAACAGTTTGTTGCGAGGCCCTGGCAATGCTGCTGACGGCACAATCGGTTCGGAGGGCTGGTAAGTTCAATATGAATGATTTTCTACATAAAAAAGTTGGCAGAAGAGATTTTTTCCTATTTTCTTGAAAAGTTTTGCGTGTGTTCCACAGGCCGCGGCATATTTCAAACCAAAACGGCCGGACTGTGATTCAGGGTGCGACAGTCCGATCGGGTCCCGACAGGAATGGCACTTCTGCTGAAAATCCCGACAGGCTTTGAAAAATGCTGTCGGGCGGACCCGACGAAAAAGGGGGAAAACGCCAAACGGCCATCGGGAATGTAGTGGTAGCATTCGTTCACTTCGTTGCCTCTTCTCCAGAACTGTCCAGTGAGTCTGGCAGTGAGGTTGCCGATGAGGGGGACGAAGAGGAGGACGAGGAGATGTTCCTCTCCAGTCCTACGGTGTCTAAGGGTCTCCTTGAGGAGCTCGGATTGTGATGCTCACAGGCAGACGTGCAGGCGTGCATGTGTTGCTGTGTGTGTGTGTGTTGTGTGTGTTTGTGTGTGTGTGTGTGTGTGTTCGTGCATATCAGAACTGTGAACTTCAAGCTGAGAATTGGAAACTGCGCTTTGAATCCGGGCTGAGCAGCTAGCCAGACCAAGAACCGGGACGAGAAACCCAAAACGCGTTCGTTACCGTACAACTAACATGAACAAGGCACCGGGGACGTGGACATATGGTTGGGGATAAGAGACGGCCAGCCTGCCTGCCAGAGCCCGCCTGCTACTTCGTGCGGCCCCTCCGGGCTACCGTGCTCTTCCGCATTGGTAACCCGCAGGCAGCCGACGGCCTCGCTTGGGTTACTTTGGCCCCACGCCTAACCCAGCGAAACATCCCCCGTGCCTCTAAACTAAAAGGCCGGCCTCTCACAAAACCAGGAACCCAAAGTTCGGAAGGGAGGGCGGGTGGGAAAGAAAAAGACGTCAAATTCACACCGCTGACCAAAGGACAATAACAGCGGCAGCTAGCAGCTGTTCTGGTACAGAGGGCTCGTATCAACTAGTAGCCGAGTCCGAGATCGCCCGGAAGATAATTCGACACGACTAAACACCGCCGATCAAATAGCAATTCAAAACAACAACCAACTAACTGCACCGTACGACGCCGCTCTGACGCCCCTCTTCAAACCACATTTTCGGCTATGCCTAAAATAAGATATATAAAATACGAATAAATGTAATTTCAAGCGGCACACAGCGAAATTTCGTTCTTGCGTCACCCGACAGGTTTTGGGATGGGCTATCGGGGCACCCGACAGAAATTGAAAGATATGCAAAAACGCTATCGGGTGGGGCCGACGGGCATGGGAAGGGGAAAACCGGCAACCCGACCATTTCAAGAAGGTCCTGTACCACCCTGATCTGATTTCAATTGATTTATTATCCGACTTATCCCGCCGGAAGAATAGCTATGTTGCCGGAATAAGCTCGCCCCGCGACCGTCAGTGAATGTCGTACGTGTGTGTGTGGTTGTTACAGTGGGCTCCAGACTCTCGAAGAGTAGAGCCATCGGGCCATCTGGCCGTGCACTGCAGTAGAGACTAATATACCAAAAGATTATCACCTCAGATAATTAACCTCTCATCGGTAACCGCTCTCGCGAGCACATCAATTTGCCAGATATAATTCTCTCGTACGTACTGTATTCCTGGCTGGCTTCACATCTTCTTGCGCCTTTTTCATCTCCTTAATGGCTTATTCGACCCTGCTGTGTGCTGGTGCTTCAGGTGGCATCATATGGACCACAGCCAGATGAACATGTCACCTACAGATGACTCCACATCCAAGAGTCAAACCAAGGCGACCGGCGGGTCTGCGCTGCCATACAGCTCCGTAACCCGGAAGCAATCTCTGTGGGCAGGTACGTCCATGCTGATGCTGATGCGCTGCCCAGCCAGACTGAAGACCGCAACCCGGTGTTTCGTGAGCACATCAAGGCATCTGGGGTGCATGCAGCAGCAACCAATCCCCGACCACTGAGCCAGTAAACGACATACAGGAGTATGTAATTGCCGAATCACACGCTTTTACAAACAGCATGCCGTGCATAAATGTAATAACCACGCCAAACAATGAGCTGTCTGCGTGAAATGGTAATCATGAATGGCTATTTATTTTTGCTGCGACTCCTGTTGTTGTTGTTGTCGTTGTTGTTGTTGTTCCTGCATACGTCGCAGATGAGGAGCCAGCGGCTGCTGCAGCCCCGCCGCTACCGGCGGCCGCTTCGGCCCTCAAGCCTGAAGAACCGACCTTCAAGCTGGCCGAGGCACCTGCACCGACACCGGCGGCCCCGGGAGCCAGCAGTGTACCAGCTGGCAGCAGCAACACTACGGACAACGTTGGAGGCCCCCTTCAGAGCGGGGCAGGCAGTGGCTGGTAGGCCAGGGTGGGGGGCAGCAGGGCAATAAGGCAGGGCCGTGCAGACACTGGAGGACACACAACTGCCTCCGGAACTCCACACTCTACAGGCATCGTAGGAAGAAATTTAGCCTAGTCGGCGTGTCCAGGTTCGGACGTTCATCTTTAGTTAAGGTTTTCCAACGGGTGGCCTCCTCCAAGTCGGCCACGTTTGCCAGCAAGCCCCCTCGTTAATCCTCTTGATGCTGTGACCTCAAATCTTTGTCGCATCCACCTCGCGTGCGTTTCCATGAGGGCTGTTACATGATGTATGATGTGCTCTTACCGTCAGTTTCAGTTATTGTTATGTTGTTATGTTTGTATTACCGTGCCACTACGTACACGTGCGTGTCTTTCCGACCCACCGAACCGCCACCGGACGGGGGCGTTTACAGCGCCGCCGTACCTCCCGCGGTCGCATACCTGCTGACCGGGCCGCTCCTTGCCTCTGCCTCTCCCTCCCTTTTTCCCTTCGTGGTTCGTCTTCCCCTTTTTCCTCCCCCTGCCCCCCCTTGTAGGTGGACTCGCATGGACAACTCCCCCCTCAACCAACCACCTGAAACCAAACCGTTGACGGACGGGGCGGCCGTGCGCAAGGGCGAGCGTGTTATGGGCGGAGGCTTCACGCCCCAGTTCCACATTGCTGGTAGCGGCGGGCGTTACGGCTCCATTTTTGCTGAGGAGTCTGTACAGCCGGCAGCAGATCAGCAATCAGGTAGGTCGCTGGTTCAATTGGTTTGTACCAGAGGAACGAAAAGGGGCTGGGGGAACAGTAGTCCGGGAGGGAAAGGTGGGAGGGACTGTGATGACAGTCCCTTGCTTGATCAGCGGTTGTTTCACGACGAGAAGCGTTTGGTGAAGTTTTGTCCGTTAACGATGTGCCTGCAATATACAACAAGTGAGATAGGTGAAGTCTATCCTGGTGCGGGGAGGGGTGCATGCGGCTGTCTCGCTTGGCGGACTGTGCCTAGATCTAGATAAGAGATCTCGGTGTATTGGGGTCGGGCGGTCCGCAGGTGGCCATGAGGAGGAGGAGGTAGCTACGGCCATGAAGGCCTGCATGCCTTGCCATGAGGTGAAGTATTGCTGCACGCAGTAGGCCCCGCCGCATCTGCGTTTTTTATCATCTTATGCCGCACCACCTGCTTGTTGCGACACAGCAACTCGAGGGAAGGACGACAGCCCCATCCCCGTTTTCCAACCCCCCACCCCCCGGGACCTGGAGCCAACTCTTCAAGTTCGCACTCTCAGCCTGCCGGACCCCAATAGCTATCTGCACTCCTTCAAACAGCCTTACTTGCACATTGCCTGATAGAAAGTAGATTGTGCACCTCCCTTCTTCCTGGCTTCCCCTCCGCGATCATCCACGAACGCGCAGGTGACCCTTCCCGGCCGTTGGCGCAGCAGGTAGCTGATTGGGGCCCCTTCTGCGGCCAGCAGCCGAGCAGTACGGCGGCGGCTGGTAGTGCATTCGGCGGTGGTGGAGGTGCTGAGGGGGAGGAGGAGGATTGCTGGACGAGCTTTGCATCGGCACCCAAGGCCTAAGGACAGCTGCACTGCAATGCACTGATGAGGCTTTCTGCTGAGGCTGTGTTGTTATGGAGGATGATGGTCTTGGCGGTGATGTTGGTTGTGGTGTTGTTACCGTACGGCATTGATGTTACATTGCCGTACGGTGATCCACGTGCTCGTCGAGTGGGGTCTCACGCTTCCAGGCATTAAGCCACTGGGTAGTTATTGGGAGCACAAATGTACGTATGTATGCATGTATGTGTGTTGTGCCGTCGATGTGTGATGCGAGTAACGAACGTAGGCTTTAATGGCAATGTTGCTTATGCTGTGCGCTGGCACTGCCGTACACCTAACACAACATTCAAAAGACACCCTGCGCGGTTTAAATTTTAGCTGCATGCATGTCATGCCTATCCGCATGCAAATCGTGATCATACATGAGGAGTGAGTTAGCAGTTCGGTGTGTGATCCGCCGTGCAGATGCCCTGGGCGGGCGGGTAGGATACTATTCTCGGGAGATCCTGCTGAAGCGCAGTGCCTGCGCTTGCTTGGTGATTCAACTAGCAGCAGCCTGCCGCCGCCGCCGTGCGCATTTTGGGAAACATTTCATCGCGTAGATTCAATGCGCCTCGCCGCACGTCGCAGCAGCGGCGACGTGGCCTGGTTATATGTAATTTTGGCGTATGTATGTCAATGTATGTTCGGTCATCTACGGCTGCTGGTTGTGTATGCGCTTTTTGGTAGTTTCCCTTAGCCTGGAAGCTACTTTCTGGCGACGGGTATTTTTATCTCCGTTTTTTCCAAAGAATAAAACGATGGTTGTTGCCGGCTGCAAGTGGTTTTGAATGATTCTGGGTCGTGCGTTGCATTTTGTATCCCTAATGACATCGCCAATGAGTATCATTGTCCCGATGTGGTGGAGCATGAACGGAGAAGTGCCGCCCTCGTTCTCACACCGCTGTCCTCCGGCGGAGATAGGCGAGCGAGGATTAAACTGATGTACAGGAGCAGCGGGCGAGCCGCACGAAAACCAGGATTTTTTTTTCGCAGCACTTTTTGCAATTTACTATGCGAAAAGCTGCGCTTGCGCTGATGAGACCTTTGCTGTTTTGGTCTGATAGCCCCTTATTTTCATTTTGGGGCGAAATCCAGGACGCATATGTTTGACTACTAAAGATAAATCGTGATCCTTATATCAGTTTGCTTTTGAGCTTGTCAAGAGCAAAGCTTACATATTTGTACCGCTGTTTTTACTACTGGTTTCTACTGTTACTGCTGCTGGTTTCAGTATCGGCTTTCGTTTGCGCAGTCATGCAGCAGCACATAAATACGGCTATGCGCGGCGCAACGGGAGCGTGGGTAACTGCGGGGTGAAGGTGCTTTAGCCTCAGCAGGGATTGCATTGGTGCGTGGTCGTGGGTGCGTACGGAAATAATAATGTTGTAGTTGGTGGCCGCCGCTGGTCTGTGGAGGTGGTAGACGTGTGGCTGTGGTCCACATATGTCCCGTTCTTGCCCTCCAGATTAATTACCTATACACAGGACGGCAGGCTGATGGGGCCTTCAGGCTCCTCAGTATTTTGTAAACTTTTGCTCAGCAGGGCCAGCAGAGCCGTCTGCAGCTGCTGTAGCCATTTTCGCGGGACGCAGCAGCAAAAAGGGAAAGGAAAATCTGAAAGGGACAGCGAGTGCTGAACATAAAGGTAAGAGTGGCGCTTCGGTGCAGCCGTCAGTGCGCACACCAGGAGGTCACCATCCTGCCTTGCCGACAGCGCCAGATTACCACGTGGCAGACACGGCTGATGCCCGGGGTGGCGAGCTAACGGGTCACGGGTCATGGGGGGCAATCTACTGAGCAAAGCTCCCCCTGCTCTCCTCGAGATGCGCGGAGGGCGGTTGTAATCCTTGCTGTATTTAATGTGAAACAATGGTTGGAATTGAATGTTTATGGCTAGGATGCAGGGAGGTTATAGTCGGTCGTGCAGTTTTGAGGCTGCACGAGTATAAAGCTCGCAGGGAGGACGTGTTGATGCGAAGGGGTGCCGTGTCGCCCCCAGTGATTTTTTTTTCATTTAGGGGGGGTCTCAATTTGTTCCGACCTAAGTAACAAAGTTGCTAGCGTCGCCGTAATGTATTCCTTAAGTGTGGGGCGACTGGGGGGGGCTACGCCCCCCCCAGGACCCCCCCCCGATAAGTTACAACTCCCCTCATAGACAAAGAGGCACGCACTGCGTTGGCGCGTTTTCGTTCATGTGCGCACTCTTCATGCACATGCATAGATAGTTCTGGCACTGTTTGTGGAGCCCGCTTGGCACTGCGAGCGCTCGGGTTGGGCGCCTCGCCGCATTCGTTGTTGTCGAGCTGATTGGGTGACAGCTTGCGCTTATGCTGATCACAACCGCCATGGAAGGCAGGGGTAATGGCGCCCGTGTCATCGGTCGCCGCTGGCAGCAACACCATTGCCGATGCATTACCGACAACAGCACCGCCGTCCCAAACGCCTTTATCAGGAAAAAATTCAGGCTTATCTTGCTGTTTTGGTGTTTGTTCGGCGTTCAAGTCGTTGCCTTTTGCGTGTTTGGCTATGTAAGGACCGGTCATACATTCTGCTATGCCGCGTTGACTCACGGGCTTGACCTTCTTACGGCCCCGCATATCTATTCTATGATCGATAATACTAAGTTCTGCACACTACGGAGCAATCTGGCAGCAATGGATGGATGGATGGATGGATGTTACAAGCTTCAGCGAGCTCGTACGGCCCAAACGAACCCGGAGGCTCATGAACCGCTTTGACAGCAAATGGACGTTTTTGGCTGGAGGAAGGAAAATGTACGGATCGGCCTCAATCCATTCCCTTTTTCCAAAGGCCAAAATGGCCTCTTTATTCCTTATAAGTAATATATTACTTAAAAAAAACACTGGGTGCAGTTCACGGCCAGCTGGCCCGCTGGCTCTACCCTTTTAAAAGGGTAGACTCACAAATTTGAGAGTCTGGAGCCCACTGTAACAATCACACACACACACACACACAGGCCAGCAGGGGCCCGGCCTTGTTGCCAGAACCACCGAGTGTGCCGATGGTTGTCGGACTTGCTTTACAACAAACCCAGTTTATGATATTAATGGACATAGCAGAAAATGAAGCCGCAGCCCCAATTATTAAAGGATGTAAATATCTAGACATTGGCGCAGATTTGCCTGTCTCTATCTTATCTATCTTGCTTATGCATACCTAAAGTGTTCGTAACAAACGCGAAGGTAGGGAGAGGTGTAGGAATTTTTGACAAGTCGGGTGTCGGCTTCCTTGAAGCCGGAATCCCTGCATCCGTACAGGCCGGTAGCTAGCGCGGCACGTGTGACAATTGATGGGTAGTGTCAACACGGTGAGAGATGTGCTTTGTTGCAGCAGTGCTGATGGTGTGGGAGCTAAGCTTGCACCGGCGGAATCGTCAGCACCGCCTGCGGGCTCCACGCGAATCGCTTCCATCCCGGGTGCATGCCGCATGGACAGTGCGGCAGACCGCAAATCGGAATGGCCGTGCGGGCAAATGGTAACGAAAGCTGGGTGAATTTCGGTGCTGTCTGTGATGTTTATCCCCGAAGCGCCAGCGGCCTCAGCAATCCGCCCCACAGCCGCGGGCTTCATCGCGGCACACCGCAAGTCTCCGGAGGCCCCGAGCATTGGCCAAAGTAAATATACAAATGAGCAGCTTGCGTATTTCATAGAGAAATGTAAGCAAATTTGTCGGCCTGCTGGTGGCAAGTCGGAATGCCCGTGCGGGCAAATATTTGCCCAGCTTGTGTTACCATTAATGGTAACACAAGCTGGGTGTTCAAGTTATCATACGCTGTCATCGCAGAATTCAATTATGAGATACGCGGTACCTTTTGAGATGAAATTTAGCCCGAGAGACGTTGATGTGACTTTGGGCTCGGTCAATTGAGGCAGCCAAAGTTGTTTGTGCTCATACGATTTTTGTTGGCTACAGGCGAGATAACTTGCGATAGAGAATGCTATATAGTACCAATAACGCGTTTCAGCCGGGCGAGATATTATGTTTGGTCCGTTACACACACACGCACACACGGACATGGGCAATCCTACAGGTTGGGGCCCCCCTGGGCGCTTCGCGCTGGGGCCCCGCCCAAAAATAGTAAATACAAGTTATGTGCCTGCCAACAACGATTTCACCGAATTTCGCCCGCCGCGCAACGTTAGCACCGACGGCACCCACGCACGCATTGTCAGCTGACATTCACATTGCCTTAACCTCCTCAAGCTTGTCGGGGTGTGACACGTGGGCATGAACCTTGTGACAATGGGCATTGTCACAAAGAAACTGGTTGCAATCAGAAATGCATTTTTGCTCATGCCAGGTTACCGACATCGGTTACCGATTACTGGGGACGGTTAACGGATAACGGTTTGCCCGGTTATCCTACCGACCGGTTACCCATCTCGTTAACTGGACCCGTTAGGTCGGAACCGGGCCGGAACCGGCCTGGAGTATGCCATTGGGCAGCAAACGCGCGCAGAATAACTCCTCAGCATGGGTGCGGCCCCAACAACTTTCGCACCATTCGCGCCCTCCCGTCGTTGATTACATTGGGACACAGCAGGCGATGCGCAAACCTGCGGGCAGCAAAAAAGGATAAGAATAGCATCGTGCACATATACACCACGTCACAAGCAATGCAGCCTCTGGCCAAGCCGTACACGCATCGCAGATGCATGGGTGGGGTTCTAGCTAATGCGAGCGACGCACGCTTGTGTGCTAATGATGAGGGCAGGTGGTAGCCGTGATGGCATCCGTACATAAATTAGGATCCGGTTCCTTCGGAGGCTGAATGAGATGCGGACATGCCCTAATGGGCTGGCAGCATTATTAATCCATATTGGATCATTATTATGGCGTACGCATAGCCATGCCCGCCGCTGTATATGTGCCGGAAGGGGGCCGGGTATCGCTGGCCCACCGTACCGCTAGGTTTTGGCACTACTGGTAACGCACGACCATTGCCCTCGGGAGATCCAGGGATCGAGATTCCGTAGGGGTCAATAATACCCTTTCGATGGTGGAAGGCATTGCGCCCTGCGACCCGGCAGATTCCGTTGGATGCTGGTGGTGGGTGCGGAACCTGAGCGATCCACTGAGAAATTGACTAGGGTGACTGGATGAGGGTGCCCCGAAATACCGGGGAAGGCAGGGTTTCGCAGGGTAGCTGCCACGGGCGAAGATATACCCCCCTGTTTCACACATCATACATGCATGTTTTACATACATACATGCATGTTATACATACATACATGCATGTTTTACATACATACATACATGTTTTACATACATACATACATGCATGTTTTACATACATACATGCATACACAACCAAAATGTCCGGGCATGAACTGGAACAACACCCAAACCTGTGGCGTGGAAATGTTAGGAGTCTTGACGCACACGCACACACACGGTTAATAAGGTTACATAAGGATACCTAGCTCCTAGTTGTTTATTATTACATACCATTGAAGGCCGTGTCGTCTCCACCGCCCTGCAAGGTAGTGCATTGGTGCGTGTTGCATTATTCACGTTGTGCGGAAACGGGAAACGGGGGAACCAATAATGATAACCTCGCGGGCACGGTGAATGTATGGCACGGTGACATGTGGTGGCTGGGTCATCATGCATCATCAGCAAGAAGCATTCACAAGTGATGCATATGCACGTGCAAACAGCTCGCTCATTCCACAGTGCGAAAATTTATGCATGCGCATCCAAATATATTGTGCTAACACGAGGGCTGGACTACAATAATCAATAAAAGCAGCAGCTCCCAATTTCGTTCAAGCCGGTCAATAATGCCTCACGCACTTGGCTGCCCTCCCAGCGTGCCTCGGCCCCACATATGAAGCTGTTACCGGGACAAGCCACCCAATCGGTCCATCTGCATGCAGACCAGATGCGGGGTGTGGGGCGAAGAGTACAAACATACTACTATGTAGTGCCCTGTAGGCACGACTGGTAAGGCACGGACCAATGCCCCCGGGAGAATCTCCCGGGGAGATCCCGGGATCGAGACATATCTGGATAGAAAATATTTCTTATGGTGAAAGGCATAGTGCTACTGGACGACGGACAGTTGTGACCTGATATAAAAAATAACCTGCGAGCCGACCAGGAATGGAGTTGAACTGCCGTCGTTCCGGCAGATTCCATTGGATGCTAAACAAAGTTCGATTTGTATCTGGTGCGGATTAGCAGGAGGTGACCGTTAACTATCAAGGTCATGCATGCCCTCCCCTGCTAGAGGGGGATTAATATTGTACTCTGTGCGTATCACGGGATCCGCATCTGCCGATCGGTATCTTTTTAAAGTCGTGATATGAAAAGTGGTATCGAGCAGGTATTCTGTTCGAATCTCAGTTGTAGCGGTTTCTGTCGAGCGGAAGGTGGCGGGGCCTGCAACCGCTGGTTATCCCGTGGGTGCATCCACTACACAGGGACCCTAGGGTCGACAAGAGGTCGAGGACGCCCCCACGACTTCCGTATATATAATACCGTTTGGCGGATGCAGCTCCCGTGATACAACCAACGGCGGCGCGATTATATCCTCCCCCTGCTGGACACGGACGTCCACGCACGGCTGCCCCCCCTTCTGGTGAGTGACACAGGATGATGATATTCTCGCTCTCGAGCATGCTATCATGTTCCGACCGTCAATACCGTGCAAGCTGCTGCGCGCGGCTGTGTTATGTTTGTGATGTTTTCATCTTCTAAGAAGAACCTTGTTTACCAGCAGCGTAAGTACATACTTACCCGCCCCACGGTGCTTCACCGGCCCAAAGATCCTGTCCGTTGGAGCACCTAAACTGGATTGAATTAGCGGCAGTATCTGCAAATATGCATGCACAAGCAAGCGTAGGTAGGCATGTGAGCGAAGTAGCGCGTGAGTGCTTTATCACGAGGGCACGTCATTATTATGATATATTATTCGGACGGCGACCGAGCAAGATGATCAAAGAATTTACTAACGTAGGTATGAGAGATGTAGGAGCTTTGGTGTCAGGTAGGCAGGCCTATATAGGCATATATGTTATATCACGACTTCAGAAAAGTACAGATCGGAAGATGCTGATCCCGTGATATGCCCAGGACGCAACAGTCTGCCGCGTCGGTAAAATTTGTTATGGTCAATAGGCAAGGCCAGCGTGTAATAACAGGTAGGATCAAGAAACAGATCGTATGTAAATTCATTGTTTAGAATGGTCGATAGGCCGTGCCAAGAGAGAAAACAGATGACTATAGACGATCAAAATAGATGTCAGACGCGGATTCGAGCATGTGGATTCCAAAATAAGGCTGCCAGTCATCGGTTGCTTGGCCTAACCATCAACAAGTTAGAGCTGCATGTTGTAGTAGCTGGTCGTTGAAAAGGCCTCCCGAGATGCTGGTCAAACGCTTCGCACGTATTTAATTTAAAGTTGTTCTGTGCACCGTACTGTGTACCGGCTACTTCATTCCTCCCCTTTTTGAAGGGATCCGTCTCGGGACCTTAAGGCCATATACACCAGCCTGTGCCTACCTTCGCCTACCCTTGGGCAGTGGGTCGAGCAGTCCACGTAACGTCATGTGCCGGCCACACATGCGCCTAGCCGTCTTTAGGTTTTGCAGGCACAGACTTTTCCCAGATAGCCACAGCTACATTTTGCCACGATCTTTTGTGCAATGACAGTCGTCTAACCCGATATTCACTTTTTGTGGTTCGTCGGGGTTTTAGTGTCCATGAGCCATCAGCTTGTTTCCCAGTCGGCTAAATAGGTATCATAACCTTGTCACTGTATTAATGCCGTACCTTAAGGTACAAGCTTGTGATATAAATGTCTAATTCGTTGCTCGCCATCACAGTAGTCAACAGCTTGCTTACTTCAGACATCAGCTCTATCGCCCCACGCAAGGGGTATATGTGCTCACCGTCGCCTCCGCCTTGCTGCCCCTCAAGCTTCAAACGCGCGGCCGTCAAGTACCCCGACGCGCACTCGCTAACCCCGCTCCAGCCGCCCCAGTTCCCGTCCTGGATAGAAAGCATGTTGCCCTCCTCACAGCGCAACCTACAAGGACACATGCAAGCATACATACACCCGGCGAAATAAGTAAGCAGCAGGTGCATGTATATTAAAACATGCATGTACGCATATACATGTGCGGTGTTGTAGTAGCTGGCCGCTGAAACAGGCCTCTCAAGATGCTGGCAGCGCGAGCGCCTTAGCGCGTATCAATAGACTACGTGTGTGACGTACAGTGACCTACTGTATGGCGTTGGTAAATTTATATTTATTGTCTATACGCTTGTGGAACGGACCTCCCTATCTTAGGGTCCCACTTATCCGCTTAGTAATCACTTAGTGGCATCTTTGCACCAACTACAGCGATACTTCTGATCTATATAGACAGGGTATCGTATCATAGATATACAGGGCCGAGAAATAAATCGTAAATATAGGTTCATAGTATGAACAGGTGTAAAACCCTATGTGTACCATTTCCATATTAAGTGTTCGTTGCACACTGAATCCTGCATGCATAATTCGGATCCCGCGTGCATGGCTTATCTCGCAAGCCGGAAAGACCGATACGGTTTTTAATAGCTGGACATTTGGGTGCTTAGAATCCTTGCTAGGAACGCTCTTTCCTTATAGGCCACGTGGTCCGCACCATTAGGGGCCATGTTATCCCTCCTGCTGGGTAGGAACTTACAAGGGGGTTACCAAAGGGCTACCGGGGGTTGAAGATGGGTAACCCATGGGTTACTGACCCAATCAGTGCCTTAGGGCGTTACGGCGGCCTTGACTGGCTAATTATATAAGCAAAGCAATTGGCAACTCACCTCAGGCCGTTGAGCGCTGTGTCATCACACCAGCCGCAGGAACCTTCAATCTGCAGCTGGTAGCCCCTCATGGTAGTGCCGCGCACATTGCCGTCCGATCCCCTAGTCGAACAGTACCTGAATCCCTGTATGCACACACGTGTCGTAAGAAGGGTTCAGCTCCCTTGGCATATCCCTGAGTACTCTCTTTGCCTGGTGTCACACGTGTACATGCATATGTGTGTGCATGTGTGTTACATGGTTGGGGGTGCGTGACCTATAGAACCCATACGAGCCGAAGGCCCAAGGGCAAATACCTTCACGCCTAAAAGATACGAGAAAAGGAAACATCGCGTTATGAGCCCAGACTAGCGCCCAAAGGGGAGAACCGAGTTGCGGTGAGCCCACATATGCTCCAACATCCTCGCCAGACGTGCTGGCTCCCATTTCATGGCCTCCAACATGCTCTGCTGATGATCGAATTCCTCTTCCGCGCCAACATCAGTATAGGCTGGGCATTCCAATAACACGTGTTTTTCATCCTCGACTTGATTATTGGTGCCGCAACAGCGGCAAACCGCTGCTCCCTGGGGACATGGTGCTTGCCCCTTCATGCTCTGTTTGCCCAAAGCCCAGCAACATAAACGAAACTGCATGAGCTTACGATGTGCTAAACGAGGAATGAAAACCTTGGCACGTGTTGGCCACATAACGGCTGCGGCTCCCAAAAAGGGCAGCCCCGTCCAGTGCTTATACCAAGCAGGATTTTGAACTACTGTTTCGATACCCTCGTAGTAGTTGGTCGATGCCGCTGGAAGTGCGCTTAAGCACATATAGGTTATGCAATGTGCTGAACTCACTGTACGCTAGATAGCTAGCTACTAGAGGGCAGGAAACGTATTGCACAGCCGCTTACCCTCCAATCGCCCCAGTGGCCGTCACTGACAGTGAGGACGGTTTGCAGGTTAGCCATGATCCCCGTCTGCTTCAGGAGTGCGTTGCGGTTAATCTCCAGGACCGTCACCTGCATACATAGAGGAATATGTATATAGATATATACATAGAATATAAGTCGAGGGCCGTGGACGGATGTGCAGCAGTGCAACGACGACAGTGCGTGCAGAGCTAGCTATCATGATGATTCTTAATGGCAAACTGCGTCAACTGCATTAGCGCCAAGCGCCATCAGCTCAATCGACTAGCCTCCCCATCCCACCCACCCCGCCCGCCCCCGTCCGACTATTTACTATCATAGATAGATAGGTATCACTGTGCTCGGTACACACACATATGCACGTACCTTGCTCTGTAAACTGTTGATCTGGTTCTGGGCATTGTCGATCCGACCCCCCAAGTTGGAATTGACGGAATTGATCCGAGAGGTTAGGTCGTTGTTTACGGAATTGATCCGAGAGATTAGGTCGTTGTTTACGGAAGTAATCCGTGAGCCCAGCTCGTTGTTTACGGAATTGATCCGAGAGGTTAGGTCGTTGTTTACGGAATTGATCCGTGAGTCCACCTTGGAAATGTTGGCATCACGTGCTGCCAGCTCATTCGCTAGCTGCGTAGGAGCGCGGCGAAACAATTGACATATAAGAAAGGGTGGTTGTGAGGCACGTGTTCCCAACGTTTTGGCAGGTATCCCGTGTCGCAAAAGCAGGTAAACGGGCCCAAAAGTCAGAGATGACATCGTAAGTAATGCGGTTAAGCGTTGACGTGGACACGCCCATGTTGGCCTGAAGACCTTCCCTAAACAACAAACGGCGCCCGAGATTGAGTGAGCTAATGGCCTCGAGGCACACAACCTCCCACACACAACCATAAATGGAGGCCGGTGGAATGCCCAACCACAAGTTAAAAAGGTCTGGAAGCTCTCGTTCATTCTGCAGAGCCTCATGAAGAGACAACGCGATAGTACAGTCCCAGAAATGATGAAGACGATCCCCACAAACCACACGCATATCACACGGACAAAAAGCAGCAGGGAACAGCAGCAGCAGGCAGAGTGCGCGTGTGCGTGCATACGAGCGTACGAGCACACGAGTGAGGGAACGCGCCTACCCTAACGCCCCGTACCACTGCTTGTTAAACAACTGTAAGTCGCCGTCGTCTACACAGAGTTTATATCATCTCTAAAGTCTACATTGTCGTTTTTATCGGCTACATCGACCAACGTACTGTCACGATATATTGGTGACACGCAATTGGTATATAGGTCACCAATGGTCCATGGAAAAAGCCCTTAAGCGTGGAAAATTGCCTGACACCAAATTTGTTCGTCACGAATTCGTCACGAACGCTCGATACGCCGTACACTCGGTTAAACAGTTGTAGCTACAGCTCTTAAGGAAATTCCACAAATCTGTCTATTTATTCCAAATTTTAATAATCGTAGGAACAAAGTTCTGAGCACTACCGGTGCGGGACATAGACGCGGCGGACGCGGGGGGACGGTCATCGGAGCGCCATCAAGGCACACAGACAAAAATTAAATCACATAAATTGCAATAACTTGTCCTCACCAAAATTGCATGACACAAATAAATTTCAGGTACCATTTTCAAACTCTTGCGAAAAAATGCGCCGCAAATATATTTGGGCAGTACGGTACCTGTATATCGTACGTCTAGCTACGTTACTTAAATATAATAAATATATATAGATCGTACATTGATAAGCTCCATAGGGACCGCCCCTATTCATTATACTAGGCAGGACCCGATTAATCATAGACGATATATAAAGATTACAGACGAAGGAGGACGACGGAATCATTACCAGCAGTCATTACCAGTCGTCACTGCCAGTCGTCACTACCAGTCGTCACTACGCGTACACACCTTATCTTGCAGGCTGGTAACAGCAGATGCCAGGGCGGAGCTTACACTTGAAATTCTTGAATCCAATAAGGAAATCTTGGAGTCTCGATTTGCCAGCTCGTTCGACACCTGCACAAGCAAGTGAACACAACACATACGGATGCACACGTGGGACTGGACTCCGTCAGTGAGCAGCAGGACGGAAGAGCTGGGTCTTGCACGTAAACCAGGAGATCATTTCCTGCATCACTGCCATACATCATGTATGGCGAGCCTATGACACTAAAGGAACGTTGTGCAATCCCGGGGTATCGATGGAAACATTAACGATCTTAGTATGGGTTCACCGAGCTACCGTTACCATGCTGGACCATGTAAGGCGCATGGTACAGCGCGTCATGCTCACGCTATCTGCTGTAAATACACATGCATAGCATAGCGATGACGACTCCCAGCAACACGTAGAAGCACGCACCCTCCTTGCCCGTTGAGCAGGGTGCGTGTGGTAAGCAGGGGGCCGCTGCCAATCACGTCACGCAGCAGACATACACCCACACGCACCTCATCTTCGTAGCTAGCGAGGGCAGCTGTCAGATTGTGAAGCTGCGATTCCAGGTCAGCAGCGTTGGCATCGCGAATGGCCAGTTCCCTGTTCAGCTGTGTGACAATGTTAGTGTTGAGCGTGTTCATCCGAGCTGTCATGTTCGCAAGATTCCTGACAATGGTCGAAAAGTTGGCACTTGACGATGCAGTTGTCTTATCCAGTTGGTTTTGGACCTTGATGATCCTATCTTCTAGGTAAAATTGAAACACGGTAGGAGGCGGAGCGGTGTAGAGCTGGGTTTTGAAGGTGCTGGCAACTGTTGTCAGGATGCTGATGTCGACGACATCACGACCCCCGGGCAGCAAGGTTCCAAGGGACTCCGGGAGGATCTCGCAGTGGACGGTGTAGTAGACCTGAAGCGAATATCAGTAACACGTGACAGAATCATCCTTATCATCCGTTTGATTGTCTGAAGTAAGGGGTATAGCTTCATTACCCGTGGCCACTAGCCTGTTAGCCCATTCCCCCCATTCCCCCCATTCCCCCCATTCCCCCCATTCCCCCCATTCCCCCCATTCCCCCCATTCCCCCCATTCCCCCCATTCCCCCCATTCCCCCCATTCCCCCCATTCCCCCCATTCCCCCCATTCCCCCCATTCCCCCCATTCCCCCCATTCCCCCCATTCCCCCCATTCCCCCCATTCCCCCCATTCCCCCCATTCCCCCCATTCCCCCCATTCCCCCCAACACATCCCCCCATGCACCCCCACGCACACAACTACATATATCCACACGCACACGCATACACACACGTACTCCACAAACATACACACATTACATGTACATACATACGACGCGACGGCACATCAAGGAAGCATGAAGGCACATGAACAGGGACAGGCATACACTGCAGTTACTATCCAATAGAGCAGGGCACTGCGTGTTTTATCTTATAAACCGAACTAATAACGAACAGCTGCCGCGAAGATTAGCTAAAAGCTCTTGCTTGTGATGGAGCGTTCCAGCATCCCTTGCTCGGTGTCCTTGCATTGTGTAACGACGCAAATGCCAATCTGAGCATCCCGGGTTACACCTTTGCTGTGTTACACATTGCACCAACCTTAAACCCCAGCCATGAATGCCCACGCACCTGAGGCCTGAACTCAATATCGAATGGGTTGCTGCTCTGAGCAGCGTTATTGCCTGAACCGCCAGGCATTGATGACATTGGTGGTACAGATGGCTGTGGGGGTGGCGGCTGGGGTGATGGTGGCGGTGATGGTGGTGACTTCCGTACATACAGCCTGCAATTCAGACACACATAGGTTCACATTCCACAGAGCCAAACAAAATTGGCGTATAGGCCTAGGTATGTATAGGCCAAACAACATTTGACGTGAAGGTATGGTCGTTCCTTTATGCAATAAGGGAGCAACAGCGAGCGTGTTGATAGAGCGCACAGCCACCCACTCCACGGAAAGGGACGTAGCCTCATGCACTACCCACTATCTATCCAACAGCAGAGTTGCAGCAGTCCAACCAATTTCGCGCACAAGAAATGAATACAATGCTGAAATATGGGTGAACGAGTGAGCTGCCTAGCTAACGGACAACTAGCAATAATGCCCTATCGCCTCAGACTCACTGCGTCAGGTGTCGACCGCCAGCATTGCCCTCGATTCTTTGAGTTTCTGCTGTGTGACGCACACCGTCCACGCCCTCGGCGCTG